CCTATGCAGGTCACAAAACTCACAAAAAGTGGCCTAAAACATGGTTTTGAAACATACAAATAGGGGCTCCTTTGTAAGGCCAACAAAGCTAGTAAACAAAACAAGGGGTGAGAGGGTCACCCTTCTTGTGCACGCATTTCGAGACATGTCATTTTCTGAGCATTGTGCATGCTAGGCTGTATCTTAGATTGCATTCTGTCATTTTCTCGGTTTGCGTGCCCGTGTGCACGCATTTCGAGGCATCTCATTTTCACAGCATAGTGCATACTAGGTTGTATCTTAGAACGCATTCTGTCATTTTCTCGGTTTGCGTGCCCGTGTGCACGCATTTCGAGGCATCTCATTTTCACAGCATAGTGCATACTAGGTTGTATCTTAGAACGCATTCTGTCATTTTCTCGGTTTGCGTGCCCGTGTGCACGCATTTCGAGACATCTCATTTTCATAGCATTGTGCATGCTAGGCTGTGTCTTAGTTGCATTCATGCATATCATGCATATTGCATCGTATTCGGGATAGGAGTTAGCCCGGGCACGGGAAACGAGGTGCATTTCGTCCTCCGAGTGACGGAACGTGTCTCAATTCCCCAGTCACCAACACTCCGGATCATCCATGATGGAGTTAGGTCTTGTTGTGTTTTCATGTACTCCGAGTAACGGAATGTGTCTCAATTTCCCAGTCACTGACACTCCGGATCATCCATGATGGAGTTAGGTTTTGTTGTGTTTTCATGTGCATTCATCCTACATTAAATTGTGCAATTCGACTCCTCGGCCATCATGCCTCGGTATGCGTGATTGGTGGCACGAGGATCGAGGCATGCATATATTTGTGAAGATGCACTGCTATGCCCCTTTCCTGCTCTCTGTTGCAGCAAAATCAGGAATCAGCAACTTTTCGGGACTTGGCACGCTTTTTAAGAACAAGTGTAAACAGAGGCTAATTGGGGCATCCCGGTGGATTTCCGCGCAAGACAACCCGGACATGCATCATTCATCAGGAGCAAGGCAATCCCTGGCTTGCATGCCAGTTTTACAGCTTTCTTAGTAAATTCGTTAATTAATTAGGAATTTGTACATTATTCGGACTGTAATATTCTTTTATTCGGGACTGTATATTTATTCGGACCCTCCGCGCGAGGGCACAACTGTAATAAGTGTGCGTGTGTGTGTTGCATGTCTTCCAACCCCACGTCTTTCTCCCTTTTATTTATCCGCTTATGATGGTTAGATTAGGGCATATTTCAATTAGCATACAGTATGACAGCATGTTTGCATCATTCATCCGTATCACATGCACCGGGCTCGGCACATCATACTAACTGCATTGTGAGCAATTTCAATTTTTCAAAATAGTTGAATATCATGATAGTGTGTGATACATTCATATACCTATCTAGATATAGTTTCCGGAAGCCTGCATAATTAATTGCATTTTGCATGTGTTTGAATTAGGCATTTCTAGCATCAATGTTAGCATGAGTTAGGATCAAATGCATGATTTCTAATGATTTCTTATTTCGGCTGGAGTCAACGGTAGCTTTATTTGTCTTTAGCATGCTTGCATCAGTGTGAGGTGACTGCCTGAATAGTCATGCGCTTACCATGCAGGCTATGTGCTTATTCTGTATATAAATGCTGAATGCCTGTGGGTGAGTTGGGTTACTTGAAATTGGAATAAAATCATTCAATGTTTAAGACTACCTGGGTAGCAAACTTCGTTCAAAAACAAACATGAAATTTTGATTCTCACATCAGGCGCATACCAAGTTACTACTTGCTGACTTGTGAGCATACACATAGGTAACCTATGGCTAATAAATCGGAATAGAAACTTACATCGTTTTCAATACAATTGATATCATGCGTAGTAGATGAGTGCGGGTCTTAGTGACCGCCGTGAGCGGCGGGTTGCTCACTGAAGTGACTCCTTCCCCGTCGGTACCCAGTTCCCGAGGCGAACGCAACTTTTTGGTGATATTAGATATCCGCACTTTTGGCACCGAGTCAGGGTTTCCTAAATTTCCCAAAATAAAATATTTAGGTGGCGACTCTGTATCTGGCAAAGCAGTCCATGTTTGGCACTTCTTTCAAAAATCTGTTTTTTCTTAAAACGATTTGCCGGATTTGGACTCTTTGGTTCAGACTTATAACCGTGACTAACAAAAGTCGAGTCCGAGCTGTAGCGAGGTCCCCCCGCGGGCTTGTCTACAACAGGCAAGACCTATGTGGGAAACTTCTATCCTGTGAAACTGAAAAAAATGAACTCCTGAAAGTGTATTCCACATATGAAGAGAAGCTTGAAAGCCTTGAGATGTCACAAGCAACATTGGAAGAGATGGTTTGTCATAAAGATGAAGAACTCTGAATTGCTAGAGCCACAATTGCCATGTGGAACAAAGGTTCCAAATCATTAGAAAACATCCTTGAGTCTCAACAAATGGGTTGTGACAAAAGTGGGCTAGGCTATGGTAATGCAACAGCTCACAAGGGACAAGCCACTACATCACATGACCTGAAGACTCAAGCAAAGGGAAAGCTAAAGGTACACCAGGGTGATCTCTCTCTTCATCTACCTAACGGGGGTAAGATCAATAAAAGGGAGGTAAAACCTATTTTTATTTGTCATCATTGTGGTAGGTATGGCCACATTCGTCCTTATTGCTTTGAATTATTTGGTAAGGTGTCTCAAAAGGGTAGAAATTCGAATACTTTTTGGGTTAGGAGACAACCTTACATGTCTAGGCGGAACACCAAGATACATGAGAGTGTTGACAACATCGAGACATTTACCAAGACCGGCTTGTTAAGACCAAAAAGTTATGGGTAAGAAAAGATGACTTGACTTGTTTAGTTGTTCACACTGCTCTAAAAGCACGTGACTCACACATGTGGTACCTTGATAGTGGGTGCTCTTGTCACATGTCAGGTGACAAATCCTACTTCACCTCCCTTGAAAAATATGAAGGTGGAATTGTTACCTTTAGAGATGGTGGCACTTCTAGAGTCATTGGTAAGGGCTCTATAAGTGTAGCTGGTCTTCCCAAGCTTGAAAATGCATTACTTGTTGATAGACTTAAAGAAAATCTTTTCAGCATCAGTCAAATGTGTGATTCCCACCATGAAGTATTGTTTTCAAAAAATAAATGTGAAATTCTGGATAAAAAGGGAAATACTGTCTTGTATGGGGTTCGCACATGTGATAACTGCTATGGGATTGTTACTACTAATGATTTCACTTGCCACTCAACCATCATAACTAACATTGATTTGTGACATCAAAGATTAGGTCACATGAATTTTAAAGACCTAACTAAGATAGCCAACAAAGAGTTTGTGAGAGACGTACCAAAGCTGGGTAAGAATCTAAACCATGTGTGTGGACCATGTCAACTTGGAAAGCAAACTCGTGCCCCTCATAAAAAGGTGAATAGCTTTACAACCAAACGTCCTCTTGAATTGGTTCACATGGATTTAATGGGTCCTACTTGCACTGAAAGTATTGGAGGTAAAAGATACATTTTTTAAACTGTTGATGAATTTACTTGGTTTTCATGGGTAAATTTTTTAACAGAAAAATCTGATATGTTTGATGCTTTCCAGGCTTTAGTCCTTAAAATCCAAAATGAACAAGGTGCTTCCATTGGGCGTATCATAAGAATCCGAATTGATCATAGTCGTGAGTTTGAAAACAGTTCGTTTTTAGATTTTTGTGATATGCATTGAATTAAACATGAATTTTCTGCACCTATTA